CAGTAAGTTGTATAAATTTTAGGCAGGTTCTCTGTGGTCTAATGCTTGAATTCTCTGTTCCTTGATGAATCTCTGTCTAAAAATGTCTTTTGTCAACTTATTGTGGTGAATGCCGTGCCAAAATGAGTATCGTTTTACAGTTTGTACGAGAAACTTATTATCTTTAAAATCACAAAAGCGATAGGGAAGAAGACTGTTCAAATACAGAACTGAGAACACTACTTGAATTTATGGAAGGTTTTGAACACAGTGAACTGCAGATTTCCTCAGCAAATTTGTTTTTATTGCACTAAAACAGCATGGATGTTAACAATCTACTAAAATTTCAATTGACAGGTAGACTGTTGGACAAATACTGCCTGTTGAAAGATCGATGTTATGCGCTCAGGCATATGTAAAGTCTATCATAGGGTCAATCAGTATCCCTTGATCAAGCATATATTGGTTTGATTGTGTCTCATTTATTTCCTTTTGGTCTTTGTAAGGATGCTGCTTTGGTAGGAATTTACTTTGAGTTACTTTTACATACATTTCCTGGTTCTGCATTTATTGCAATTTGAGATTTACAGAAGTCTTTGCGGTTTTGTTGTCTGTCAGCATGGTGCCCATGCAATACAAAGTTTTCTTTTTGAATTCCATCTAGTTTTGAGTAAGAAGAGTAGTATTTATTCTTGTAGTAAGCTTCTTCTGACAAAAAGCTTATTCAAAAGTAAAGAAACCTCACTAAACACATTGGTCACTGGAGATTAACTGATTTCGTATTACTTAATCCCAATTGCTGACCGAATTCTACCAATTTCTTTTTATCCAATTACTAAGCTGGGAGATTTACCTTCTTGAGACCCTTTTGTTGATGTTAAGTTGCTGAAGACAATCAACAGGGATTTTCTCTCCATTGCCTCTAACCACCTGAAATCCTGGTGTGTTTGATATGCTTATCATATCTGTCAGACGCTTTAGAACAGTTTTGCATTAACATCCAATTTAAGAATAGGGAGTGAAGTGGTGAAATATATTGGTTCTATCGCTTATTTGAGGAACTGTCTCAGTCCACAAGAGCTGGTTGCTGACAAAGTTTCTACTTGGATTCGAAAGGCATGTTTAGCGTTTGCCAATTCTCACCACATGATACCACCGACACATCTGACTGTGTAATAAAGGACGAGTATACTATGTAGCAGTCCACCTTATCCCATTATATGGCTGTGAGACGTGGCCGCTGAAAGTAGGAGGTATGAAAAGCCTACTTATTTTCGACCATAGGTGCATTCTTAGCAGTGTTTACGTGTGAACAGGCAGATAGACAGATAGGCAAAACCAGCGTATACCTTTTTCCAGAGATGCATCGATTGAAGTTACCACACTTCACAGTAGAATAAAAAGAACGATCGGGTGGAAAAGGTGTTTATGAAGTAGACGAGGGTGCATATGAGGAAAAGGAATTTGAAAACCAAGTTTAATGAATATGTTCAAGCTTTCGAAGACGTTAAAGAGTGGGTACATTTGCACCATTGTGACTGATTCAATCGATTTCAAGGGTCTCCAGCCATTGATTCCTATCATTTCGGGGACCCCACTCAGGCAATATAAACTTCCTTACACGGCTTAGATGAACAGTCAGAGACTTCATGGACCGATTTCACATCTTTGTCCGGCCGCCCTGAGTCTTCCTCAAACTTGTTCCAGCTTTGGCTAACACTGCACGTTGAGATAGGTGGTGTCTGGGCATACGCAACACATATCCTAGCCACCTAAGTTGGTGAAGGTTCACAACCCTATCTACTGACTTTTCTGCCTGTTGTATACGAGCTGAGATTTCGTCAACAACCCGGCCCTTTGGGTTGATTCAGTTGCTCAAGTAAGTAAAGTGGTCAAGACATTCTACCCTTTCACTCCCTATCCATAAACTGTGAAAAGCTGCAAACTAATCCTGAAGCGTTTTCTTACATTTGGAAGGTGCGAAATGCATGCCAAACACTCAGACGTTTGCTCAACGCATTCGGCAAATCCTCCATTTTGTTGCCACATTCATGTTGAATAACAAATGCGTCTGGGCACTTCAAGGCAACCACGTATCCTCTGGGAAGCAGTTCAGTAGAGATATCTAAGGTTATATGCACTAATACACCTATGAAAAAGTTGAACAGGAACAGTGACAGCGCACAACTTTGGTGGACGTCACTTATTGTCAACACTTCAGATGACATTTCTCTGTAACCCATAACAGTGGGTGTGGTGGAGTCATCTTAGGAACATTCGCAATTTTAAGGTGAGAGCACTAGACAAGGAGGGTGAATTAGTCAATTAGGTCACGAAGCTCCAATGAAGATGATGACTTGAATATATGTTGCATACACAGAGATAGTCTACGTTGAAGTCCAATGTTGGTCATCAGAGGATTAGTCTGGAGGAGAAGTAAGGGTCAGACCAAGATATGGTGTGGGTTCAAGAAGTCTGTGACTGGTTGTCAAAGGTGTGTAAGGAGGCGTAAACTGTTTGCCTGGGGTCATTGCGACGATGGGAATCAGTGATTAGAGATTGTGCGACATAGCTAAGAATCGATCAAAGCGGTGCAGATGTTAAAATTCTTTGATCTCTTCGAAAACTTGAACATTTTTGGTAACTTTCATCCATTTGTGCTATATCCTGTAGCATACACTTCTGTCTACCTTAATATAACTTTATCTGTGCACTTCATTGCACTCTGCTGAGAATCGTGAGGACGTGAACTGATATATTTTAATGTCTGGTTTGACAGTGATTTGTCTCTCTGAATGTTTATTTTTGAAGGAACTTATACTTGTCCTAATGGAGACGTTCAGCGATTGTTCGATGGATATCAGGGTCTGAAATTCATTCCAAGTTGATTGGGTCACAAAGTTCGAGTATTTTGCAGTGACCTTAAAGATTATCGGGCACATAAGAAGTAAGAAGTCGAGATATGTCAGCACCAAATTCATCATCTATAGATCATGCTCAATTTAGCAATTTTTTCCCGAGATATGGTATGAGACAAAATTTTAATTGCGGTTCACAATTCACATCAAAGGTGGGGAAAATCTGCCACCTGCTTTATGCATGCGTTTTAGACATGTACAGTACAGGACATTTTTTGATTCATTGACTGCCTCTCTTGGTTCGGTACTCTGAATGAGGCGCAACTCAACCGTGTGTGAGATACCCTCAACATGTACAGTATCTTTCTAGGAAGTAAGAAGTCATCTTAACATTTGGAATGCCTTGGCTGCAGTTGTGTTACAGTTCACTGTTGCTCATATTTTGTATTTTATATAAAAATCTTTAAGGCCTCCGTTCTGAAACACAAGGAAACACTAGTATATAAATAGAATGCCGATGACATTGACTATGAATTGAGAGTCCCACTTCAGCTTTGGTGGAATTAATAGACATGCTTTATAACTTAGATAATAAACAGTTTCTGCTATTCGAATTTTGATCGGATGTTATTTTAAATAAGTCCCGATTTCAAAGGTTACTCAGTTGTTTTTTGTTATGAGCGAGTCATACATACTGTTTATGTATCACCACTGTTCTTCGTCATACCCAACTTGGTCTCTTTCATTCCCGTTTTGGGTTGCTACAGGGTAAATTGTTTTTAAAAGTCATAAGTTGTGATGCCAACATATTTTGCTTGTCACTAATCGGAATTCAAGATTATCGTTTCTTTTTATACATGCTTAACTCTCAAAACACTGCGTGATATCAAAATTGCCTAATGAGTTATAATAATATTTTACACATTTAAGTTATTTTGTAGAACTGATGAATGAACGCTTGTATTCTTATTTCTTTCACTTTTAACAGCTGTTTCTGATTGGTGTTCGAAAGAAGCGTGAGTATTAATCCTCCAGTAGGTGTATGAGAGTCTTACAGCTTCACACGTATCGTAGGTTAAAAAAATAGCCGAGCTTTCTGCTTCTGTGATGAAATTATTTTGTTTAACAGCATTTGATTTTCACTACCACAGACACGTCCATGAGCTCAATCCAGTTGGCTTCTTTGTTTAAATGCGTCTTACTGCATTCTTTTTCTAGTACTTTCACTCAAATTGTAAAGAAGATTCAATCTCATAGGTTCATCTGTATTACCGTACTAGTTTGAATTTTGTAAGAAAGTTGTTTTCCTTTGAGATGAAAATCTTTGAAAAGTTAAAAGGAGTAAAGTTTACGCTCCACATTGTCTCTTCAGGCAATTGAAATAAAACTGAGACGACAAATTGTCCGTTGGTTACGCTTTTATGAATACAACATTTCATAGCTTAAGTTAAATTGCGTTCGTTTGAATAGTGAGCTTTGAGTAACTAATTCAAGTTATGTTGTTTAGTGCCGCTCGATCAATAGATTAAAAAATGGCTACACTGTGTGGTATTTACAAGTATGACTATATTTCAGAATCGAAAAGAGGTTGAGGATAGCACCCAGTATTACTTTTAAGGTCAGTATTCTGTTATTTAGTGTGAATATTATAAATTTCTGGTCTCGTTCTCTTCAAATCATTATTTCTATGACATAAAGAGAGTAAAACAGGAATTTCCTCTTTTATTAGTTGGTTTCATTCATTCTTTGTTTGATACCCTTTCTTTGGTGTCGACTTGTCACCCTCTATTGAACTGAAGATGTTCGTTTGAGATTATTAGGTTAGCATTGAGTGCAGTATCAATTTTGATACTTTTTTTCAAATAAAGGCTATTCTAAAGTCACTATTGTTACTAATTCCAGTACAAGATTCGGGTCTCAATGGGAACTACGTCACTGTACACTGAGGTGCAGGTACATACAGCTGACGAGTCTCAAATAGGACGAAACACTTATCCTGGTTCCACTGCTGTAGCCACAACCAAGCAAATTATCCAGTTAAGTGGCCTAAATATTTTTTCATTGTTGACAAAATACATTTTAGGAATTTTAATTGACTTTATAAACCTTTTATGCTATATTTTATTATCTTAATCCTTGCTTATATTGTCTGTTGAACTTTAGAACTCACTGAACTTTTGTGCTATCTCCGGACTAAAATGCCAATTCCAAGAGAAGAGAAGGAAAATAAAATTCAGTTGACAGACAATAAACTCATATCAAATGAAATTGGTTTCGATTCAGAAGCAGAACAGTGGGAATGGCTCTTAAGTGTCTTATCTGACCCGAATTTATCTGCAGCATTTCTTATGCAAGATAAAGTCGCAAAGGCATATGAGACCTGCAAAAGTGTTATGCATCCTAAACCAAGATATCGTTGGCCTGTTTTAGCTGGTCTGGCATATGACACTATGGAAGCTGTTAAAGAGCAACTAATGGTAGCATTGAGGGAGCCGAGTCAACTTGACACATTTACTCTGAACAGTATTTCAGCGGTACTCAGTTTTTGTTCATCCCCAGTCTTTCAGGTAGGCACTGTCATTTCATGGTATAATTACCGTATAATGGTTTTGTTTTAATCTCGAACTAAACCAGTTTTCGGGTGTTAAACTGATCCCGCCGCTTACTGAGTGTTACAGTGTGCAAATCTATTATATTTTTCCAGTGTTTTTCCACTTTTCTATCATTTTAATTTTTTTCGGCTTTTAGGTCGATTCATTCATTTTCTTACTCATTTCGACAATACCTCTTTCCGGTTTTGCTTTAAGAATCTTTCTTTATCCTGTAGATTATCCTCTTGTTATACCGTAAAAATTTCTAAAGTACTCTACCATTATCTTATTAGTTATAACATGCTTGTACAGCTTTCACAAATTGAGTGACTTTAAAGATCACCGCTGAGATAACCAATCATGTTTATTCTTTCCCAGCCGAAATACCCAAAGCTGATTGGCTATTTCGTCAGTTGGTACTGTGGCCTTTAAAATCATTCCGAAAATGAGGTCGTCAAAACGAAATAAATTTTTCTCGCTGTTACTTCTTTGTTCTGTGGTTTAGATGAGTTTTATTTTTGTTTTGAGGTAGTTCTCATTCTTCAAAGATTTCAAAATAGACAAGCCTCTTCATTTTCTGCATGAGTATTCACACATATGTTTTCTTTGCACTGAATTTTTACAGAGTTAACACAGAAGGAAGAATCTACAACCTATGTCGAAATAATTCAAGAAAATATATTGATCACTAATTACTGAATATCTCATCGCATTAGACTGCAGATAACAGCTGTTGCGAACATACCCTGTAATTAGTAATACTTTATTAATGAACGTAACTTAACTGTTGGATTTTATTTATGAAACTTAAATAGGTTTACCCTGAAAAGTGTCTGTGAAATCACTGTGGTTTATTTATAATTGATTCAAGGTGATATTAGTTTTTGAAACTTCCAATTAATTGCATACGAACTGGTATTCTCAATGACTAGTCAGTTATGCACTATACAACATGAAAGTGAAGAACTCTTCAAATGAGAATCTTAACCATATTTTATTAAAGCATATTGTGAGACTAAAATTATAGCCAGTTTATTACCTTGATGTTGTACGAATTACATATAAAGATCAAAGTGCATTTCCTTTCAACTTTTACATGAACATAATTAAGGAAGCTGATGTGATATCTTGTAGACAATCGCGCTATTTTTGTAAGAACAATTTCCCCGAAATTTGTATCTTCTTTGTGGTTGTGTTTTTAACCGAAAAACTAAAAAGTATCCCTCTGAAAGAACCGCAAGTAGTTGAGGTGTAGGAGTAAAACTTGACCTCGTTAATTGTTGTTGTTTGATGCTTGTAATCTCCTATTGCTATTCTGGGTTAAATTATTCGACTCTTTTAGCGTGTTTATTAGATATCACAGTGAAACAGTATTATTTACTGGTTAACGTTTAGGACACAACTTATTGTTCACAACTTTGAGATCTGGTTCTACTTCTCTCTCCTTTGTGATAATGGTTGTAGAATTTCCCGTATATCTACAACAGGTGCAGAATCATTCCTAATACATGTATTTGGTGTTGATTTGACAAAGAAAAACTCCATCCAACTAAAATTTTAATAATATAGTTCTGTTCTACCCTATTGTATGATTGCGTGTAGTCGCATGCATAGCTATGGCCGAGTTTTTCTCCAAATTTCCTATCTTATTAGGATCCACTAAACATGATTTGGCTAAGTTTTGTGCACGAAAAGCCTAACTGATCCTGGTTGACTACTTTGACCTCATAATAATTGGCTAATTTGATAAATAGGATCTATTAGTCTACAAAGCTTGTTTCTAGGGTGGTCTGGAAACCAGTTTAGAACAAAATCAGGATTTTATATTCCAAAGCGTTGTGTAGTGTGAATTAGATTTCTTACTTAGAAATGGAATACAGGGTGTGTTTCTGTGTTGTGTAGATTCGTACGTCGGTTGATAAACGTTGGTAGCCATCAGTGTTAGGAATGACGCAACACCCGTACTAGAGATATGGAAAATTTTACTACGAATAAAAGCAACTCATTTGAGGTTACATAACTATAAAAGCCAAATGTCAAAAGTAGTGTGATTACGTTGATGTGCTTCTGAACAATAATTTACGCTTGAAGCGCCATCAAGTAAATAATACTGTATCACTGTGTATTATATATCAAATAAACAAATCTAATATAGAATTACATTATATCACACTCGCGAAGTTTTACATCTATATATACACTTAAATTCGGAAAACACCCTGGAATTTGAATTTGAATTTATGAGCTTATAGTACATATTTTGTCAATGTTCAAGAAGAAAATGTATAGTCGCAGATAGCTAATTCTGCCATATATTGGCAAATAAAGAATTTACTTTGAATAAAGCATCTGCCGGATCTTTGTTTTTGATATCATCTAGGCTGTTCAACTTTATCTCTCAGAGAAAATTTATATTAGCCAGCTTTCGATTGAATTCAAGTATTTCCTTGACTATTTCTACAGCTTAGATAATCTACTTAGTGGTGTATACGGGAACCCAATGGGTTTTAAAAAAGATAAATTTCTCCATACTTGTGTTATTCAGTTGGTCAGTGGTAACAAACTGACCAGGGGACCTGAAGGTCCTGGGTTCCATCCCTGACAGAGTCATCGGTGCGCACTGTTGAGTCCCACACCGGGACGAAATAACTGTTCAGTGCCCAAAGGTTTTCAATGGTTCTCCAGCTGATGTCAGTCCGTGATGAAAATCGACTAGAAGCATTTTAAAGCAGTTACAATCTATTTATCGTTACCTAATTAATAGTAGATGGTCATCGACAAACATTGGATGCATATTTGCTGAGATTTACTGGGGTTAACGTTTTTCATTGAGTATTCTAGTCACTTCTTTACTCCTTTTTGTTATTTTCAGACTGAATGAATTGAATAAATTTAAGAATTTCTCACATATAATATGATTTGTAAAGCTTATCTAATTGTACGACTTATAACTATTATCATCTGTCGATCATTACCGTGAAAGATAAAGTTAAAGTATGCAACTCATCTGTTATATACATGCTGGTGTGTCAGTTGTGACTATTTTGCGTGTTGTCCATACTATCTTTTTAGCTTGAACCAAGGTATAGATGGAGTAGGTTTAAACATGTGACTAAGTTGGCGAATCGCAATCGAAATGCGCTCAGCAACCATGTGCATATTCGTGCAGCGGGTAATGGAGCACACCTGGTGTACGAGGGATAATGAGATATTACCTGGCTGCCCAAACCTTGGTGGAGCCGGGTTCGAACCCACCACTTATTGATTGAAAGTCATCCTCCTAAACTAGTGAGCCAGTGAAAGTTTTTGAGATAATGGAGAATATTTGTTGCTCAGGTGGATGATCTCCAATGGACTTGCGTTCTCTGAAATGGATCGTCTAGTCGTGAAGTTCACGTTACCATTTTAGATTCAGAAGACAAAGTATTTAAACTTCTACATTTTATTGCTATGTATGCGAAAAAACTGTAGTTTATTTTGTTGTATACAAACCTTTTATCAAATGTTTCTATCGTTCAAAGTATTCAGTTTTTTTTGTTATCAAAATGAATTTTTTAACTAAATAAATATTTGAGCAGTCATTCAGTGAATACGTTTATTTGAGGTTAAGTGGTTTCAACATTTTATATTTCACTGGGAGATTTACCAACCCATACTCCTAATTGATGTATTTTGGTTTTCGTATTCAAGTGGTTGCTTCTGTTTCTTACAGAGTAGGTATGACTGATGTCTTTGCACTGATACCTGTATGCTGTTACTCATTACTAGGTTGGTAAACTATTATCACATGTTTAAAAAAAAAGTATGATCCCTTGTTTAATTTATCTAGAATCTATTGTTGGCAATGGATGGACTTGCAAACACTTGGCTTTTTGATGCAGATGACGACTATATCACATCTGATAATCTCGATTTATCAGGAGATAATAATGAAAATTCTCTTTCTAGTTCATACATTCAAAAAAGTTCTGTTCCAGGTTGTTATGCTACACTGGCATATGATGATCAAGGTCGTGATTCTTATTCAGAAAGTGGAGTAAGACTGAAGTATGTTATTCTTCAGAAAAGTGGTAATGAATTCTTGGTGAGTTAAGGAAATATTCCAGGAAAATTTCTTGTTTATGCATGAATAAGAGAAAATATTTATGTGCATATGAAATCAACGATTTATTCTATTATTTCATATTAACACTATAAATAATTGTCCAATACTTTTATCTAGCTACGAGGTCCTACTACTGACCAGATTTTTATTTTACTTCAATCACCAACGGTTGTACCCGGTTAGCATGTGAATTTGCAATGCGTTACTATCGCTTGATCATGCTCACAGTGGCTGCCTAGTCAGGAGTTCTCATCTCAATCTAAATCTAACTGAATTAGAGAGGGTGAGCATCATATTGATTATCATTTTGACTATCTGAGATAACCTTGGTTTGACAGACTAGTATTGATGCTGGATGATGAATGAAGAACCGAAAACCTGGTGGTCGATGGTTTGAATCCGATCGCGGTTCAAAGTTTCATTTCACTTTCAGTTATCACCCAGTATCAATACTAGTTTTCCAAACCACAGCTATCTTAAATAATCGAAATGATAGTCTTATCTAGATTGAATCTTGGATGGGGATTTCGTCTTACCTATTCAAATATTGTTTACCTACCGTATTGTTTGAATCAGACTTTCAAAGTGTTGAACTGTAATTAATTCGTTGAGTTCAGGATATACATATGAAAGATTGGCAAAAGCTTCATAAGTAACCACATATGTTTGCATTTACTATGGATTACCTTATCTGCTTCTTGTAACCTCTTACATCTACTTTGAAAAGAAACAGATAAATAGTTTTGAGTTATTTTCCCTTTTTATTATTCAGTGTTTGTTGAAGTGTAAATAGGATTGATGAGATTTTCAGTTAAATAGTGGAATTCGATTTGTCTGTTGTCATCATTATATCAAATCACCACCTTTTCTTGGAAGCAGTTGTATTCACTTACACTGATCTAGTTACAGAATAAGCCTATCTGTAAACTGGTCTTTCTTCGTTGTTCTGTGTTTAGACGATAATTTCTTTTAAAAAATATGTTTACGTCTATTACTACGTTATGAACAAGTCCAGGGAACAACGATGTTACACTTTTGTAATAGTGGTCGCTGTTGGTAAAAACAAACTTACTAACTATTCTGCTTGCCTTTACTTAGTAAGGTTATAATACTTAAAATGTCTGTAAGTCGCTTAGACGATTCAATGTAAACTGCTAATATATTTAATGAGCTCAACACTAGTTGCATGATATATACTACTGGTAGGCATGAGTAATTTGAAGCCACTCACCAAAAATCAAATTGCTTAACGTTCGATTCAAGATAGTCTCAACACTACTCTACTGTTTCACTCATTCAAGACCAAGCTCCTTAGCAGTCTCTTCGGATTGATTCAGCCGAGAAAGTCAAACTGTTTGGACTACTCGAAAACGTATGACCAATTGGATGAAGTAGTAGTACCGGAATTGGAGCAAGTGTTTGCACGATTTCTAGTTCGCTTTGATAATGAGATAAGTAGCTACTACTACGCCTTGTGGTTCTTTTGGAAATTAAAGCCCTTGGAACACATATTGTAATCCGCTCAGTGCAAAGGATGGCTTTAAGAAATAGAGCCAATCTGAACTATATGTACTACTGACTAACATGAGTAGTTGAAAAACACTCTAACCAAACAATAGTTACCACTTGTATTAGTTGTCCGTTACCGTTCTAAGTTTAGGCCATGTACATTCTGGTGAAACAGACAGACAGACAGACAAAATCAACGTATAACTTCGCTCGGAGATACATCAGTTCAAGTTGATACACTTCACAGTAGTATACAAAGAACAAGTGAATAGAAAAAAGAGTAATATCAAAGTAGAAAACGTTGTGTGAGTGAATAAACAATTTGAAGATAAAGGTTTGTGCGAATAATCAAGCTTTATAAGATGTCAAGGAGTGAATAAATCTGCGCTGTTGTAACCGATTTTCATCCATGTCACCAACCGTCCTCAACCACTGATTCCTTTCATTCTTGGGACTCCAACCAGGCAGCCTCCATCGCCTTACGACTAAGACCAACATTCAGAGACTTCATTGAATGATGTCACGTTTTGGTGTGGCAACCCTTAACCCTCTTATTCCGGTGAAAATATCTAACTAACTGCGAACGACGGTGTTAGGTGCGTCAATAACAGACAAACACACACACACATTCACATATGCACGCTATCTATGAAGCTTGTGAAGTCATCTTGTAAGGCTTCTTATCCTAGCGATTCCTAATCAGAAGTAAAAGTTGTAGTAAAGGAAAAAACTTCTTGAATTTCTATTTCTCCTGGATAAAATTTTGTTATATCCTGATTGCAATCGCAACTGATGGTAAAAGTGGACGAATTACTTCCTAGTGTTTACGCAGCATTAATTTACATAGGCAACTAGTAAATTTAGTTGTATACCTCTATGTTTATTGTACATATCTGATAAGAACTAGTTACTTGTCGTGCTTGTTTCGACTTGGATAATTTCTAAAGCTTCTTATGCGTAATATATCCTCTTAGGGCGCTACGGTACGCTTGGAAAGAAATTCAATAATAATTGCTCGGATTGTTAACGGTGGATTAGCTCATAAAACTAGTAAGTGAATGAATTATTTAAAATATATAAATTGGTGCTATTACTGTAATAAATGGTCTCCGTAACAAACAAACCCTGAACAGTGTTTGCGTGATATTTGGATTTATTTTCCCCTAGACGACAAGCATTTCAACGTGAGTTGGGCGCAACATTATAGTATTTTTATAGTAGTCTTATTAACCTCGTAGTTTAAGAAACACTTGAACCCCACCACCACGTCAGCAAGATCATTCAATTCGATTTCAGTTTCATAAGATACCTGTGCTGAAAATAACCACTTGACTACTATTATTCATCACGGATTGACATTAGTTGGTGAACTACTGGCGATCTGGGGACACTAGACAAATGTTTCCTCCTAGTATGGGACTCTTCAGCAGTGCGCACCCATCGCCCCGCCGGGGATCGAACCCAGGACCCTCAGATTTCGTGGCTAGCGCGTTATCACTGAGCCACTGGGTCAGAATCCAACAGTCCACTTTTTTCTACTTCTGTCAGTTCATGATGTCAATCCTTGATGAATACCAACATGAAATTAGTGAATTCCCGCAAACCTTGCAAATTCGACTACTTGATTGTTTCTGAAAGGTTTACCGATTGAAATTCAAGTTTTTGATCAATTCTAATTCTACCAATTGATTTATAAGGATATCCGTTAATATTTACTTTGACATCAATAAATAAGTGATAGATGTTTAAAAAAGTAATTAGTATTTATTGCTTTCTGCTAGTATCATTGTATTTTCAGTTTTGTTGAAGTTTGTACTTAGCTGTTGTTGATTCATTGTCACAAATTTTGATAAAATAAATGTGTGTGAATGAGATAGCTAGAAATAGATTGCACTATACAGTTATCAAGTTTTGGTTGGGTTTAAACAATTGAAATGGTGGAGAATATTTATAACTCAGATGGAAGATCTTGGTTGTGTTGTATTCTCTGAGCCGGGTTTTTAGAAAGAAATGTTTTCTAGAAAGACAATGGAAACATCATGATTAAGCCATCCAGCTCAGAGAACACAACATAACCAAAGGTTTGAACATTACTTTGCCTTAAATCAGGGCTCAGTGATACCCGTTTTTCATGCAAATACTAAAAGAAGTGGGTTTAAAAAAATAAGGTAGTGACATTTGAGATCAAGGGCGAAGCAAAACGTAGGTCGATTTTGAGTAGGCACCTTTAAGATTACTTGCTTTTTGATCTTTCAGAAGAACTGGAAAATCTATTTGCGAGCAAAATTGCGATTTCGTTGGGTATAGTACATATTGTGTTCAGGTGTGATGTGAATGTAGCATTCATCTTCCTGCTATTTATTTTACTGTTTACCCAGCGAAGTTTAGTTTTTCGAAAAAATATCCCCTCTGTTTGGCTGTCCAACACAATGTTAATTGATGACATATAAGATTGGGAAAAATCAAGCAGTGTCCAGGTCAAGATGTGCCACTTATCCCCTAAGACTCCAGGTTTTATTTGGGCTGTGTAAGAGCGTGTAAGCTCCTTGGCTATGGCATTCTAGATTATTGAAATTTTTGGTCAAGGCACTTGGGTAACAGTTCAAAACTGATCAGGATGGCACTGATTTATTTAGTGTTGATCATTTTACAAATTGTAAACAAGTTAATAATTTTCATTCTTTTTATTCTCCCCTCTTGCATATGCATTTCCGTTATTTTAACATTATGCCATTTCCTTTCATTCTGTATGCTTAGGCTTTTTTTGACTTCGACGATTAGAATTGATGCAATTTTCGGCAGAGATTTCACATTTACTTGTTTTTTCAATATATGGGAGCATTTGACGAATTTCTGAATAAACTGCGGAGGATAATTATTAACTATTAGCGCTTCTTTTACGTGTTTCAATTCCTTGTTTAGGTCCTTGCATTGACTAGTCAGTTTTCTAGCTCTATCACTTAGACATTTGACTAAGCCTGCCTTAACTGACATTGGATGGGACGACTTGAAGTCTAGATACCTGTTGAAATCTGTCGGACACACAAGAAACGAAAAAATAACAGTCACATGAGTACGAATAATAACGACAACATGAGTAAAAAGGAGTTCACAGCTTCCATTGTGTTACCCTATAAGAAAGGTACATCAAAAACTTTACGTAGGATCCTCAACAAAGCTGGAATTAGAGTGGCATTTAAACCTACAAACTCAGAGTTAAGCTTTGTTGGCTTAAGGATCAGATAGAACCGATTCAGCAAAATGATATAATCTATCAAATTCCATATAATGACTGTGAAATCAAGTACATAGGTCAAACTAGCCGGTCGGTGTCAGTTAGAATAGCCGAACATAGGAATTTAGATAAATATAGAATGACAGACCTGAATAAGATCAATAATCCAGAAAAAAACTCGGCTATTGCGATGCACACATGTTAAGATAAAGCCACTGTACTTAAGTCCAGTATAATTAGGTGGTGAGAGAAATTGATTACTGAATATTTGTTCATCAAATCAACGCGCAACACATGTAACAGAAATGATGCAACACCTATGCCAGAGACGTGGAAAATTTTACAACCAATAAAATAACTCATATGAGGTGACAAGACTATAAAAATCAGGTGTTGAAAGTAGTGTGATTACAGTTGTATGATTATGAGCAATAATTTATGCTCGAAACGTTATCAAGTAAGTGATACTGTATCACTATGTGCTGCATATCAAGTAGACAAATCTAATATGGAATTAAATTCTGCCACAGCGCCCAAGTTTAACACCTATATTTTAGCTCATGTAATTGAGAAATTCTAGCCATAGCTTAAGTACAAATCAAGGGAGTTTTACTAACTTTACATAGTTCCAACTGAACATAGTGCAATACTACACCATTTCATGCAGCTCAGGTGCGAAATTTGTTTCTTGATGGCTGACTTCTGTCAACTAGACTTGTGGTTAAAGAAATTCCGTTAGAACTGAAATAGGTTTGATCTGGTGTGTTCCGGAACACACCAACATATGAGATATCAAAGTATTTAGCATCAGTATTACGTCCTGTTAGAGACCGTTCCAACTCTAGACTGGTAAATTCTTACGAGTTGAAACCTGCACATAGAAGAGAATGAAAAAATGGTTAGTTTTGACGTAACAAGTCTTTATACTAAAATACCAATCAGTATGGCACTGGAGGCAGTCAGAAATCAACTAGATACTGACTCACAACTTACTCAAAGAACCAAGGCATCGGTTGATGAAATCATGTTAGGAGTGCAGTTATGCTTAACCTCAACAGTCTTCAAGTTTCAGGGAAAGATTTATAGACAAACAGAAGGAGTAGCAATGGGATCACCAATATCCCCTATAGTAGCAGATAGGTTTGATCTGGTTTAGCTGACTTATGCCATATTTGTTATTTGCGTGATACGCGGATGTTTCACTAGGACTGAAAGTACAGTACTGCAGTGTGTTCTTTTGAGTAATGTGTTTGGAAAATAAGTTAGGCAAAGGTTGAGGGTTTACAAAGGACTCAAGTTTTTACCGTATTGTCCTTTCAAGCATCACTTAAATGTAGTGGAACTTCAGTATTTGAATTGCACAAGTTCTTCATACGGTATTGGTTAAAGGAGATAAGTCAGTTAGTGAAGTTGTGCACCTTTATTTGCTGAATTACCAGCTAAATACCGATTCCCGTGCTTAATGTCAACTGAGGAAGGATTGGGTTGGATAGAAGCTGAGGTTGGCTGGGTGAAGACATAATACCACTCCATGGGATCTTTCATTGTCGGTCACTGGAATGTAGGGAAGTGTATGTATCCTGTTTGTGATCCACCAGTCGAGCAAAACAATTATCTAGAAGCAAATGGAGTTTGTTTAAAATCGATGGTGCAGATTCACTCAGGCCTTCACTTTGTTGAAATCCTTGCAATCTTAGTATTGGTTGTCCTTATTAGTTTCATTTCTCAGTTTTTTAATATGGCTTTCTTTATTCGCCGGCCGATTTGATTATTTCACCTATTCTCTAGTTCATTACAATTTCAAGTTGGTGTGGTCTGACAGCTTGAACCAATATGCGATTATGCAGAGTTCTAGGCTGCTAATATGCATCAGTTTTCAGTTTATGCATTGCAATGGATTTATTGGTTGGTAAATTTTCACACTTCTTTGAGGATAAGAAAATATTTTTGTTAGCCATCTTGAAAACACTATGGATGGATTTCGTAATTATTATTATTTGTCCCTTGGGTTCCTAATGGAACATAGGGCTTCAGTAGCACGTCTCCAGTGAACTCTGTTCTCTGAAATTTTTTGAACCTGGCTCCACGAAAGCCCAGAAGCTCTCATTTCCTCCTCGCACGATCTACTCCATATCACCTTCACCTCGGATGCCCAACTCGTCGCTTCCCATCGGGGTTCCACTCGAGTGCCTGGCCTGACGCGTGATGTCCCCAGTCGGCCTTTTCAGTATGTGCCCAATCCATCTCCACTTCCTTCTGCATATTTGTTGCGTGATGGGTTCTTGGTTGGTTCGCTCCCAGAGTTCCTTGTTGCTTATTCTTTCTGGCCATCTGATCTTCAGTAGCGAGCCAGCGTAAGCAGTTGTTGATGAATGTCTGTAGTTTGTTAAAAATGCTTTTCGTGACGCGCCAAGTCTCTGAACTATATAGAAGCACTGACTTGACGTTGGTGTTGAAAATCCGGATCTTGTTCCGCTTGCAGAGTGCAGATCTCCACACTGGTTTCAGACTAATGAACGCCTGTCTTGCTATCTTTCCGATCCTGGCTGGCTTTGACATCCTCGTCTGTGCCATCGCCGCCTGTAGTTGAAACAGTGCTCCCTACATAAGTGAAGGAGGCTACTTCCTTTAGGTTTTTGTCGTTGATGGTGATTGGAGTTTGTTGTCGGTGGTGTTGTTGGTTGGGCATCTTCATCACCTCTGTCTTCTCTATATTCACTTGAAGTCTCGCCTTCGCTGCCTCACCTCTTCTGCAAACTTGTTAGTTTTCGCCTGTAGATCTTCAAGTTTGTGTGACATCAGGCACAAGTCATCG